ATATATATATATATAACCAAATAAGCACATTACATATGAGAAAACATGAATCATTTTTTCCCCGACCGGGAATTGAACCTGGAACTTATTCTTACTAAGCCAAGGTGCTACCAGCTACACCAAAGAAGGTTAAAGGGAAACAAACCTCACAGCTTATATCTGCTATGGTAGGAATGAACGTATTCTATCTAAATGCCACTATGTTCATATCACAGTTTCCTTAACCTCACTCGTGGTCTCGTTTTCGAATTTAACTAAACTCCCAATCTCATTCAGAGCCAACAATAACCAAATAAGCACATTATATACCTGAAAACATGAATCATTTTTACCCCGACCCGGACTTGAACATGGGACTTATTATTACTAAACCAAGATGCTACCAACTACACCACAGAAGATTAAAGGGAAACAAACCTCACTGCTTATATCTGCTATGGTAGGAATGAACGAATTCCATCTGAATGCCACTATATTTATATTACAGTTTCCCCACCCTCACTCGTGATTTCGTTTTCGCAAGTATTTCAACTCCCAATCTCATTCGGGACCAGCAATAACCTTGGCTTAGTAATTATAAGTCCCTGGTTCAAGTGCCGGTTGAGGTAAAAATGATTCATGTTTTCACATAAGTAATGTGATTATTTGGTAATTGTTGGTCCTGAATGAGATTGGGAGTTGAATTAAGTGCGAAAACAAAGCCATGAGTGAGGTTGAGGAAACTGTAATATGAACATAGTGGCATTCAGATAGAATGCCTTCATTTCTACCATCGCAGATATAAGCTGTGAGGATTGTTTCCCTTTAACTTTCTGTGGTGTAGTTGGTAGTACCTGGGCTTAGTAATAATAAGTCATAAGTTCAAGTCCCTGTAGGGGTAAAAATTATATATATATATATATATATATATATATATATATATATATATATATATATATATATATATATATATCAAATAAGCACATTACATATGTGAAAACATGAATCATTTTTTTACCCCGACCGGGAGTCGAACCTATGACTTATGATTACTAAGTCAAGGCGCTACCACTACACCACAGAAGGTTAAAAGGAATCCAACCTTATAGCTTATATCTGCTATACTTAGGAATGAACGCATTCTAACTGAATGCCACTATGTTCATATTACAGATTCCCCAACCTCACTCGTGGCTTCATTTTAGCATTTAATTCAATTCCCAATCTCATATTGGGCCATGATATTATCAATTAAGCACATTACATATGTGAAAACATGAATCATTTTTATACCCCGACCGGGAGTTGAACCTAGGACATATGATTACTAAGTCAAGGCGCTACCACTACACCACAGAAGGTTAAAAGGAATCCAACCTTATAGCTTATATCTGCTATTCTTAGGAATGAACGCATTCTAACTGAATGCCACTATGTTCATATTACAGATTCCCCAACCTCACTCGTGGCTTCATTTTAGCATTTAATTCAATTCCCAATCTCATATCGGGCCATGATATTATCAAATAAGCACATTACATATGTGAAAACATGAATCATTTTTATACCCCGACCGGGAGTTGAACCTAGGACATATGATTACTAAGTCAAGGCGCTATCACTACACCACAGAAGGTTAAAAGGAATCCAACCTTATAGCTTATATCTGCTATACTTAGGAATGAACGCATTCTAACTGAATGCCACTATGTTCATATTACAGATTCCCCAACCTCACTCGTGACTTCATTTTAGCATTTAATTCAATTCCCAATCTCATTCGGGCCATGAAATTATCAAATAAGCACATTACATATGTGAAAACATGAATCATTTTTTTACCCCGACCGGGAGTCGAACCTACGACTTATGATTACTAAGTCAAGGTGCTACCACCACACCACAGAAGGTTAAAAGGAATCCAACCTTATAGCTTATATCTGCTATACTTAGGAATGAACGCATTCTAACTGAATGCCACTATGTTCATATTACAGATTCCCCAACCTCACTCGTGGCTTCATTTTAGCATTTAATTCAATTCCCAATCTCATTCGGGCCATGAAATTATCAAATAAGCACATTACATATGTGAAAACATGAATCATTTTTTTACCCCGACCGGGAGTCGAACCTACGACTTATGATTACTAAGTCAAGGCGCTACCACTACACAGAAGGTTAAAAGGAATCCAACCTTATAGCTTATATCTGCTATACTTAGGAATGAACGCATTCTAACTGAATGCCACTATGTTCATATTACAGATTCCCCAACCTCACTCGTGGCTTCATTTTAGCATTTAATTCAATTCCCAATCTCATTCGGGCCATGAAATTATCAAATAAGCACATTACATATGTGAAAACATGAATCATTTTTTTACCCTGACCGGGAGTCGTACCTAGGACTTATGATTACTAAGTCAAGGCGCTACCACTACACCACAAAAGGTTAAAAGGAATCCAACCTTATAGCTTATATCTGCTATACTTAGGAATGAACGCATTCAAACTGAAT